TCAGGAACTTTCCAATATTCCCCAGTTTGCCTTTCAGTTAGTCAGGGCCATACCAGTTCTGGCCACAGAATGTGAGAGGAAGTGACAGATGTCGCAGGTAAGAGCTGGTCTGTCTCCTTTATCCTTCTCTTGCCCAAGAGGCTCCTAGGGACGCCTGAGACCTGTTCTCCCTTCTATTACTAGAATAGAGAATAAGAATAAGCTCACAAGGGTGGGGTTCATCACTGCCCACTAGTGCCTGGTGCACTGCAGATGATCAGAAAGTAGGTGTTGAATGGAGGGTTAATACACAAATGATTCCTAAAACCCTTCTGTGCCCTTTTTCATTTACCTGTGTGTCTCCCCAACTAGACCAATGAGATTCTTTTTTTTTTAAGATTTATTTTATTTATTTATGCATATAAGAACTGGAGTGTAGGCCAGAAGTGCGAGGGGTGAGAGGATTCACCAGAGACAGAGTGGGGAACAGAACAGGTGGGTCTACTGAAATGCACTGCTGAGGGGAGCAGTGGGCAAGACAAGAGAAATCTGTTGAGCCATGTGAGTCAGCTCCCTGGCAGGGACGTATGGATCCAATTCATGCTGCAATGGTTGGCAACAGCTTCATAGCACTGAGACTTTAACTCCTGCACCACCAGGGAGGCCTACAAATGAGATTCTTAAAGACAAGAGCTGGATCTCATTGGACTTTATATGTCTAGTGCCCAGCACTGTGAGGACACATGAGAGAGACCCAACAAATGTTTGTCTAAGGATGAATGAAAGGAAAATTTATCATATGTATGTGTGTGTATGTCTGTGTGAAGTAAGGCCTTGGAGGGCAGCTGTACAGAAACTGGTATTTTCTCTGATGTATGTCTTTGGTGTTAACTAACATCTCCTGGAGAAACTGGCAGGAATCAAGGAATGAAGGCAGTTCACAGTGGAAGCTGAATTCAAGCAGTCAGTCCCCAACCTTATTGGAGAAGCCACCACCCCCTCCACAGAACTGGCTCTAGGAGCCCCACCTCTTCCTCTCTCTCCCCTACTCCCATCTTCCCCAACTGCCTAGTCCTTAATCTATTTTCTGATCAGTCATAAGAAGAAAAAGTTGTTAGAGGAAACATTCACCTCTAAGGGGATATCCAAATAACTGGGAGTTGTGGGTCGTCCTAATGGACAGTGAAGCATTGGGTATCCAGGCCCCAGAATGGTGCTGTGTGTTGGGGCAGGCCATAGAGACACTGTGACTGCCAGTTGACCTACAAGCTGGACCAGGCAATTGGAGACTACTCACCCCTTCCCACACCCATAAGATGTCCCAAGGATACAACCTTGTGACAGTAATGAGGTAGTGAGGCTGTATGAATGGTAGATTTGGCTGAACCCAGTTAAGGCTTTTATATACACTTTTAAGATCTGACATGTGATTGCAGAGATCTTCTTATCTCAGGGTTGCCTAAGACATGCCTCATGGTCAGTTGCCCTGTTTATTAAAATTGCCAGCCAGCAATCTGAAGTCATCTGCCTCTTTGGTACTCCCTGCACTCTGTGCAGAGGGTGGGATTCAGATTATAATCAGAAACTTCTGAAGAAGTTGTGACCCAACATAGGAGACCCCTGCCCCAGTTGGACCAGTTGGCCAAAGTGGGAGGATTAGCTCCTTCTTCAGCACCCCAGAACCCTGCCTCCACCATCCCAGGTCTTTCAGTTAGGGAATGAGGGAGCCAACGAAAGAAAAAAGAGGAAGAATGTGGGATGGAAGTCCCAGAAGTGGATCAGGAGTGCTACCTACCCCTGATTCTACCTGCCCAGTGTTCCAGGACAGGATGAAATGAGTCACCAGAGAAGGAGGAGGACAAAAGTGTGTGTAAGCAAAAAGGGCGGAAACAGATGCAAGACTCTGATGAGACTCACAGATGAGACAATGCAGAGGCAAGGGTTAGCAGGCATAAAAATTCAGGCAGGTAACCAGTAGGAGCAAGCATTTGCAAAAAATGGTAAATATTCAAAATATTTAAAGAACGCCTACAAATTAGTAACTTAACAGAAAAGAAGGCAAAGAATATAATGGGAAATTCACAAATGCAGTTCAAAAGTAAACCTAAGTGTCTAATGGACATGTGAAAAGATATTTAACCTCTGTTAAGGATGTAGAGAAAGAGAAACCCTTATACATTGGTACAGTCATGTTGAAAATTGGTATGGACCTTTCCTAAAAAACTAAAAATAGAAATACCATAAGATCCAGCAATCCCACTTCTGGGTATCTATCTGAAGACTAAAAAACCATCAACTTGAAAAATTATCTGTTCTACCATGTTTATTACAGCATTATTTACAATTGCTGAGATATTGAAGCAACCTAAATGCCCACTGATAGGTGATTAGATAAATAAGATGTGGTTTATATGCATGATGGAATACTACTTAGCAGTAAATGAAGACAAAATTTTGCCACTTGCAGCAAAATGAAGGAATTTGAGGGTATTAAGCAAAGCAAAGCCAGCCAGAAAGAGAAAGACAAATGTTGGATGATTTTACATATATGGGTAATATAAAGGAAAAAAGCAGATGAAATAGAAAAGCAAATTAAAAATAAACATTGCTAACCAAATTGAGGTTACCAGAGGTGAAGAGGGTGGGGGTGAGGAGAAAAGATGAAGAGGGTATAAGGGATGGTGACTGGTATTTTATTGATGCTTTTTTCATTTATTTTTATTCTTCAAAATATGTGTGTTGGGGGTAAGATAATAATCTCACTGGTTATGAGGGAAGTTGTCAAGGATGTGAAGCAGTAATAGTGTATCTTTGGAGAACAATTGGAGGTCCCCTCAAAAAGAAACTTAAAAAAAAACCTAAAAAATTTTAAAATCTTTAAATAAAACCTTAAAAAACTAAGAAAAAACATTTGAGCTCTGCCACTGCTGCCTTCTGCACCAAAGCCGTGTCACCTTACAATTGACTACGTCCCTGCCCCAGTGCCCTGTGAGGCCAAGAGCATGCTGTGGGCTGACCAGGGCCAGAGCTGGAAGAAGGAGGGAGTGACCATGGATACCTGGTGACAGGGCCCTCTCAAGGCCTCTGGTATAGGCAGAGAGCCCCCCAAATTCCAGGACAGAGACACCACCCTGCAACACCATTCTGCAACACCTGGGCAGTTCCCTCAGGCGGTATGGGAAGGACCAGCAGAGGGACATAGAGTGGAGGCCCTCTGCTGCAAATATGCCACCCTCGTCTATCAACTACAAGGCAAGCTAGGGGGACCATGTGAAAGAAGCTGTCCCGGCACCTCACGCCTCTTGAGACCCTGCTGTCCTAGAACCAGAGGCCTGGCTTTCCTTGTGGGCCATCTTTACCCACCATAACCTGCTGGACTTGCTGCTAATTCATGCTGACGAGACTCACTAGCCCTACTCTCTCTGCCTAAGGGCTGATCGCCCTCAGTGCCTGACCCAGGCTCAAGGCCTGGGTCGCCATCAACCCCATCAGGAAACAGTGAGGCTGGTGGCTCCTCATCAGGAGATTTGGGGGGAAGTTGCCTGTCTCCTTTCCTGAGGACCAATAAAAGTTTTAAAAAAAAAATTTTTTATTTTACAACGTTTAACCTAGCAAACCACTCCTACTGTAAATTCCCATATTTATACAAAAATATGTTTACAGTGATGTTCTTTGACTATTACTTATAATAGAAAAAAATTTAAGCTTAAATGCCCATCAGGAAGGAAATGTTGAATTAAGAAACAGTCCTACTATAAAAAATATTGTAGCTGTTAATAAAGTCAATCTATCAATGCTGACATGGAAAAACATCCATGGTGTATTGCTGGCTAGGAAAAACAAGTCACACAGTGATTAGCGTGGTATGAGCCCTTTTTAGTCAAAAAAAAGAGGTATAAGTATGTAAATCAATACAAATGTCCAAAAAAAGGATACATTACCACCTCTTTGAGAAAGGGAGTAGGACTGCACAATAAGGAGTAAGGGGGCAGGGAGAGGAGAGTAGGAAGGGAAAGAAATGGGGGGGGGGGGAATAAAGAGCCATAAAGAGAATAAAGAGAGAAGAGAATAAAGAGATCTATTTGACAGCCTGGTATACTTACAGGGAACAATCTCGTTAAGAAAAAATATCAAAGCTGATAAAATCAAGCTGACAAATACCTGCCACGCATTCAGGGATATTTACTTATCTAGAAGAATGCACCATTGCTTGATTTTTTTTTTTTAATTTTAAAACGTTTAACCTAGCAAACCACTCCTACTGTAAATTCTCATATTTGCACAAAAATGTGTTTACAATGATATGTTTATATCACTTGCGACTGGCAGACATGCAAATTATTTCTGCTCAGTAAAATCAAAACAAAACCCTCAAAGGTTATGTTTTATTGCTCTGTACATTAGCTAGTTTTATACCTACCCCAGCAATCTTATCCTAAAATTCCTTTATAAAATTGCCTATAAATAAATACGCAGAAACACCCCATACTTTCCCCAGTCGTGATATCGTCTGACATTGTCAAGTGTCCCCTGGACTGCAAAACCCCCTCAGTTATGAACCAGCAGAGAGACCCTGGGGCGGAGGCGCCCACAGTTCTCTCTCCGCGTTTGGGCGGGGGCGGGGGGTGGGAGGTGCTGGGGGGGGTGTGCTTGGGGGTGGGGCGGAGTCTTCAGGAGGAGTAGATGGGCGTGTCCTCCGAGCCAAAGGCCACTCGAGTCGCGAGAGGCGGAGGCAGAGTAGCACAGTCCCAGGAGCTGGAGAGGGACTGCCGCTCCCGGCCGAGGATTCGGGCCAAAACGCGCGCCACGCTGGGTTGAGCAGGGATCCGGGGATCCTCTCCGATTCCCGCCCGCGCTCCCAGGGGAAGGGCTCGGGAGGGGTGCTGAGGATCGCCTCGCGGGGGGTCGGAGAAGCCTCCCCAAGGCAGAGGTCACGGGAACGAGGCCAGGTGCAGCGCGCCCCGCGCCTCGGCGCCTCGGGGTGCCCCAGCCAGCGCTCCCGGGGCCCTCCGCAGCAGGCCATGGGGAAGCACAGGGTGCGAGTGGCCACCGGCTCCTATCTGGGTTCTGGAACCTGGGACAACGTGTCAGTGAGCCTGGTGGGACCAGCGGGGGAGACCCCAGCGCTCAGGCTGAACAGCTTCGGGAAGGATTTCTGTCGGGGCGCGGTGAGTACCCGTGCTCTTTGACCCGAGCCTCCGCTTTCTACCCCGCTCTACCCCACTCGTCTTCTCCCTCTTCCTCTTCCCCACGCTCAGGAGGAGGACTTCGAGGTGACGTCCCCCCAGGACGTGGGCCCCGTGCTGCTGCTGCGCGTGCACAAGGCGCCCCCCAAGCTGCCTCGCCCGCTGGGGCCCTTGGCCCCCGACGCCTGGTTCTGCCGCTGGTTCCAGCTCACGCCGCCGCGGGGCGCCCCTCTCCGCTTCCCCTGCTACCAGTGGCTGGAGGGCAGCGAGGGCCTGGTGCTGCGGGAGGGGGCAGGTGCCGCAGGGACGGGTTGGCGAGGATATTGGGGGTCGGGGGGCAGTAGTGGTTTGCCGTTGCCGCCACAGAGCTCAGGAGGAGGAGGAGGCAAAGGAAAAGATAACATTTAAGGGTGACACAGGGGCAGGGATGGAGGGGCAGGGATGTTTGGAGTCATGCTTATTGGTTGTGGGGGGACTTAGTGGAGGGGTCAATGGAAGAGGAGGGACAAGTGGTTCTGACAAGTGGATCACATGGGAATGTATGTGGGAGGGCAATGAATGGAGGGAAGGGCTGAGGGAAAAAGAAAGGGACAGTGAAGCAGGGCTGGGAGAAGGTAGGCAACCGGCACCCAACATGGGTGGGGAGGCTGGCTGTTACCCCTCCTTTCTCTTCCTTCTGTCTCTGCTCTTTGGCCCCCTCTGGCCTCAGCTGTTGCCTGGGCATCAATGAATGGAAGGAGGCTGCTGAGGCAGGGTTTGCCTGGGATGGAAGGAGTGAGCAGGGTCTTCTCCATGCTGGTGGAGATGAGGTAAAACTGACCAAAAGCCCAATGGCTGACCCACATTCCAGCCCAGAGTGTAAGTGTCCCAGGTGTAAGGAGGGGATAGGATATGCTGGGATGCTGGGGATTGGAGGTCGATCTCTGCTCAGTCTGTCTCTCCCGCAGCCACACTCATCTGGCAGGACAGCCACTCTCTGCTCTGTGCCCAGCGCCAGGCAGAGATTAAAGAGAGGCAACAGAAATACAGGTGAGCAGCTTGGTGGTCCCTAGAGTTCCCACTTTTTAGTTCTCTGACAACAAAAGGCTTTCCTTGTTCCTGCTTACTAAGGTCAACCAAGTCTCAGATCTGACCAAGGACAGCAAGACTATATGGAGCCCCAAGTTCTGGCACAGCCCTCCCAACCCCATGAACTCCCAGTCCCAAAGCCCTCCCTGCACTACCAGGCCCAGGACCCCAGCCCTTTTCACCTCCATCTCCATCTCTGCCCTTTATAGGTGGAGTGAGTTTTTCCCAGGGATACCCCGCTGCCTAGATGCCGAAAACCTCAAGGAGCTTGATCCCAACCTTCGATATTCAGTCACCAAAGATATCAGCCAAAAATTTCGCCTCATCTCCCCGTGAGCCTGCCTGTCCCTGAGGTCTCCCTTCCAACCCATCTCTCCCAGTCGGTGCTATTTGATCTTTCTTTCTGCAGGAACATTGCCCTGAAGCTGAAGGGACTGCTGGACAGTCAGCGGCCCTGGAGAAGCCTGGATGAGATCAAACGTAGCTTTGTCTTCCCCAAGTCACCCGTGTCAGGTCTGAGACGTGAGGAAAAGCAGGGGGCTGTAACAGGGTCAGTGGGCTCACAGTGGTCACCTTGTAGGACTGACAGCCAGAAAGCTAGAATTGGAACATTCTGGGATCCATAGGACTCCCGCCCAGCTGTAGTTCCCTCTTCCCTTCTCCTTTGTAGAGCCCCACTCAGGCTGGGAAGAGAAGGCACGCTTTCTGTCACCAGGGGTTGCCAGAAGGGCTGGCCGCTGGACAGGGCTGAGGGACTCAGGGGGAAGACCCAAATGTCCTCCCTTGGGATGAGCTAAGGCCGCTGTTCACTGAACCATTCTCGTCTACCAGGGTTTCAGCAAGAAAGTAACTTCTAACAAGTCCAATTCTTTGTCCATATTCTGGCACAAGGGCACCTTTTCTGCCTCCTCTGGACACTTACAACCTCTCCCCTGTAGCAAGTCAAGCTCCTAAAGCTGGTAAAATTAAGTAAGGGCCTAGGGGCCCGTTTACTGTCCTCTGACTCCATAACTATATCTTCAGACCGTCCTTAAAACTGAGTTGTTCTGACCAGCTGAAAATATCTGCCCCATGAATATGATCAGTAAATTAGGGAGGGAAAGACCAAGCAGAAAGATTTTTTTCCTTTCAAAATTGCTGCTCCCTGGGTGGGGGCCTCATCCTCACACACAGACCTGAAAACCAAACAAAATTGAAGGATCCAGGAGTTTCTACCCTCTAATATCTGGGGGCACTGTGAGTTCAACAGTACGTTCTGGCCTTAGGTTCAGACTACATTTGTTGAACCTCAGTTCAAAACCTAGCACCAGCGTGACCCAAGCTGGTGCAAACTCTTTTTGAAAGATTGTTCTGGCTTAACAAATTACCCAGATGGTCTCAGGGCAATGTTGCAGAAAAATAGGACATGGGCTTGGTGAGTTTTAATAGGGAATTAGAGGGGACTCCCCCCCACACAAGTGTAAAGGCCAGGAAGAGGGCCTCTGTGGTAACCAGCATTCCTCAGTCTTCTGACTTTCACAGGTTGGACTAGAATCCTATATGCAGTCTTAGTGCACAACACGGAGCACCTGACACTTCCCCTCAAAAATGGGTGGGGCAGCGGGAGTCAGTGACTCCTCTGGACAACCAAAACCTCTAATCCCTTGTTCTCTGAGAAACCACTTGTCATTAAAGTCATCCAACCAGTTGGGGTAGGAGAAGGGGAGCATCAGGGAATGACCTTGGTGAGAAGCTGGAGGTCTGAGCCCTCAGAATGGTGCAGTGCTCTGGGTGGGTGACTTGGGCCCTGGAGACCAAGGTGACTCTCCCACACCCACCTCTGCAGAGTATGTGTTTGAACATTGGCGGGAGGACACCTTCTTTGCCTCCCAGTTCCTGAATGGCCTCAATCCTGTCCTGATCCGCCGCTGTCGCTGCCTCCCAAAGAACTTTCCTGTCACTGATGCCATGGTGGCCCCGGTGCTGGGCCCTGGGACCTGTCTGCAGGCCGAGCTGGAGGTGAGAGGCAGAGGAGCCCAGCTGCTAGGATCCCAGCCTCTTTTCCCGCCCCTTCCCATGCCCCCAGGTGCCCAGGCTTCCCATCCTCCAGGTCCCATGCCCCTTCCACCCAGCCCGGGCTACCGTCATCCCCTCCCTCTCTGTTGAGCCTTTTTCAGGCTCTTCTCTGAGTCAGTGTCTCCTGCTCACCACTGCATGCAGGGACAGTGTTCTGCCCCAGCAAGGGCTGAGGGGGCAGGGCTGAGTGGAGAATGCTCTCTCGTGCTCCTTGGCAAGGATCAGTGCATTTGGCAGGCTAGCACAGCTCGGAAACTTGGGCTACTGGGGATGCCCAATAGTTGGTGGGCTGATCTCTCCATCTGTGGACTACTAGAATGGGATGTGTCCACCCCCGGGAAAGTGCCTGCTGCAGCTTGAGCACTGTCCTCCGGCAGGACTCCCTTCTCTCTGTCCCTGAAGCGGGGCCTGACCGCAGCAGACACGCCTCCAGTACTTGGTGTAGAACTGGAGGTGGCTCTGGGCTGGAATGACCAACTGGTTCCAGGGAATGAGGCTCCTTTAGTGAAATGCTTTTGGGTTTTGAGTAACTCCCCTCCTTACCCCTAGCCCTGGAACTACTGGGTTGTACCCTCCCTCAGCCCCCCTGGTCCTCTACCTCCCCTCCCCTAGAAGGGCTCTCTGTACCTGGTGGATCATGCCATCCTCTCCGGTCTCCGCCCCAGCATCATTAACGGGCGGCCCCAGTTCGTGGCTGCCCCCCTGACCCTGCTGCACCAGTGCCCTGGAGGGCCCCTGCTGCCCCTCGCCATCCAGGTCAGTAAGGTGGGTGGGCGGGGAGAGCCTTTCACACCTCCTGGATAACTGGAAGCTTGCCCCCTCCGTGCTGCTGTTCAAATGCTAAACATCACAGTTCTAATCCTTCCCAGCCCCTCCTTAACTTGCTTTTCCCCTAGTTTTTCAGCTTAGTCTTCTTTGCTATCTGTCTTGATGGAAAGGTGGTGATACTCAGTGTCAGAAGATAAATTGCACTTTGACATGGGATTCAGAATCCACTCCACCGAGTGATGCACTTTTGACCACTTGATGTTTCCAACAGTTACTCTTAACCCCTTCGGGGAGGCATCTTCCTGCCCTTACTTCCCACCCTTTCTGTTCCTGCTCCACACAACTGGGGACCTGGAGGGCCTGGGGCTGGTTGGCTTCACTTCTCTGCGACTCCCTCTTTTCTCCCCTTGTACTAGAAGTGGTCTCAACGGGAAACAGGGTGCTCACTGTGTGAAGTCACTCTTCTAAGTAATTTCACCGGCACTGACTAAATCTTCACAATAACCCCTAAAAGAAGGAATTATTATCATGAACTTCATTTTACAGATGAGGAGCTTCAGCCATAGGCTGTCCACTCTCCCAGAGACACTTGTAGTAAAGGAGTTGACCATGTGATTTGCTCTGTGAACACAGTGACAGGCTGTACTTTCTGCAGCCAGTTTCTGCCTGATGCCCACGCCTCCCTGTTCACCCAACTCCAGCTCACTCAGACACCTGGTCCAGATAGCCCCATCTTCCTGCCCAGTGATGCAGCTGAGGACTGGCTCCTGGCCAAGACCTGGGTGCGCCACGCTGAGTTCCTGGTGCATGAGATGATCTCTCATCTGCTTCGCACCCATTTTGTGATGGAGACCTTTTTTCTTTCCATGCTGAGGCAGCTGCCCCTGTGCCATCCCATCTTCAAGGTAGGGAAGAGCCCTCCCCTCGGCACCTGGGGATGTAGGGGATTTGGGGCTGCTCACCTAACCTTGACTCTGGTTCTCCCCAGCTGCTCATTCCTCATTTCCGCTACACGTTCCACATTAACATCCTGGCCCGCACGGGACTCTTTGCACCAGGAAAGCTCATTGACCAGGTCAGGCTCCTGGGGGGCATGGGTCTCTGCAGCTGGCAGAAGGAGACTGGAAGGGGTGAGGTTTGGTTCTGAGCCCCCTGCTCCTGGCTGCAAAGGGCTCTCTGCTCACTACAGTCAACATCACTGGGACGAGTGGGCAGCCTGGAGCTGATTGCCAAGGGACTGGAAGTTGTCACCTACCGCTCCCTCTGCCTGCCCTACCAGCTAGCTGACCGAGAGGTTCAGGACCTCACCCACTATTACTACCGAGATGATGGGCTCCAGATCTGGGCAGCCATAGAGAGGTGAAACTCCCCTGGGGCCTGAGGGCCTCACCCTAACTACATCTCTTTTGGTTTGTTCACTTCCCCCACCTTCCCAAAGACATTGTTTTTTCATAGCCCCTTCCTGCCTCTTCTTCTTCCCCAGCTGTGTGACCTTGGGCAAGGTCACTCAATCTCTCTGTATCTGCTTCTTCACCTGCAAATGGAGCCAGTAAGAGCACCTACCTATTATTATTATTAGGATTGAATGTAAAACCCTAAGAACAAACCTCAGGTGAATAGGAAGTGTTGTCTGGGCAGTCGTGATTAGCAGTATTCACCCCATAATCTCCATATTGCCAGGTTTTCCTTTCAAGCCCAGTTCAGGACAGCACCTCCACTTGAAGTCCTGAAGGACTTCCCATATGAACATAGCTGGAGCAATGGCTTGTGACCCTACTGTGGAGGGAGGCGGAGGCCTTGATGAGTGAGGCAAATCCAGCTCCATAGGCCCTTTGGGAACAGGGAGGGGAGAAGTGAGCCCAATCTCCCAGTGCCACACCAGAGGGACTAATCCTTCCCTTGGCTCTAGTGCCAGCCGGCAACAGTCAAGAGTGGAGTGGGACTGTGGAGCCCTCGTGTTGTCTGATGGGATGATGGTGATTCAGCTGTGACTATAGCTATCTCTATCTTTAGATTTTTTAAAATCTAAATATATTTTCTAAGGTTTAAGTGTTGGCCATTGATTCAACTTGAAAAAGAAACAAACATAAAACCTTGGCAGCTGATCAAATCACATCTGCAGACCAACTATGGCTCTCAGGCCTTCAGGCCCACCTGGGGCTGCCAGCCTCAGCTTTGAAACTCAGCTTGATACTACATACTCAGAGTGGTTGGCCTTTTCCTTCTCTGGCCTCATTTTCCTCCCTCTTAGACAGCTGATCTCAGTGGCCTCTTCCAACTGGGCAGCATAAGCTCTTAACTGTTAGTCACCAACTACTCCTGGATTCCCAGCTTTGTGTCTGACATTGTTGGCATCTACTACCTGGATGACAGTGCAGTGAGCAGAGACTCAGAGCTCCAGGCCTGGGTCATGGAGATCTTCCAGGAGGGTTTCCTAAGCCGTGTGAGCTCAGGTGAGTTGATCATTCCTGTCTCCTGTTCTCTAGACCCCACTTGCCCAGAGCAGCTGCCCCATGGGTTTCAACACTGTTCTCTCCACCTGATCCCCTCTAGGGGTCCCTTCCACCCTGGATAGCTGTGCTGCCCTCATTGAGTATCTCACCATGATCATCTTCAATTGCTCAGCCCAACATGCTGCTGTCAACAGCGGCCAGGTGAGCCAGTGCCAGATGAGGGTAAGCCAGGTTACAGGAGGAATGGGCCTTGCAGAAACACTGGCAGCCCAGTACTTACTGAGTCTGGTGTTGGGGGGGGGGGTCAGTTTGAATTCAGTGCCTGGATGCCTAATGTTCCCACCACCATGAGGCTCCCCCCACCCATCGCCAAAGGCCAGGCAGACCTGATTGCCTCACTCCCCGAGGTCAACGTCACATGCCACGCCCTCGTGCTCTTCTGGGGTGTCAGCAATGACACGAAGGACACTGTAAGCAAGGCCCAGGTGGGAGTGGGAGGCCTTAGGTTCCAGGAGAGTGGATAGGGTGGGGAAGGGGTCTTGGGGTTCTTGGAGGGTGCACTTAGCATAGCGCCTGGAGTGATGGAAGATGCTGGGGGTGTGGTTTAGGGTAGCACTGTTTCCTATTAGCTGGAGCTTAGAGAGCTCTAAGTTTCAAATGAGCATGGTTTGGGTGTGTATGGGATGGGAGTTCTGGTAGACTGGACTTAGGGTCATCTTTTGCTTAGGTGGATGGGTAATTTATGTTTCAAGTTGGATAGGTCTTGGGGTCTGCATTCCTAGGTAAGCGGGTTTGGGTGGTTTCTGGCAGACTAGGGACCTTGGATGGTCTGGGTGCCTAGGTAAGGAAATTTATTAGATGGGCTAGAATCAGGTTGGGTTGAAAAGTGGTTGGAATATCTCCAGATGTGAAGTATCAGCCTTCTCTCTTGCCAATCCCAGCGGCCCCTGGGCACCTACCCTGATGAGCACTTCACCGAGGAGGCCCCGCTGCGAAGCATTGCCGCCTTCCAGAGCCGCCTGGCCCAGATCTCAGGGGTCATCTGGGAGCGGAACCAGGGCCTGGCGCTGCCCTACACCTACCTGGACCCGGCGGTCGTGGACAATAGCATTGCCGTGTGAGCACATGGTGTGCCTGATGCCCCAGCCCACACCTGCACCCCAAGTAAAGGCTGTGTGCACTGACAGATCCAGGGCTTGGGTTTGAAGAGATTTTTTTGGAAAACAGGCAGGTGGGAAGGGTCATCCTAGATAGAAATGCTGTTCTCAATCAGCACTGGGTCCAGGTAGTAGTAGGGGATGGGGAGGCATTTGTTGCGCTGGCGGATGTTTTGTGAGATCTGGGCCAGGCGCTGGCGGAGGGTCTCCATGCTCCTCCGTGGGACATCCTCCACGAAGTGGATGTCGGGGAAGTGGCCCAGGGGCCGCTGTGGACACAGAACCCCACAGGTAGGACAAAGCAGGCCCCCAATCCACCCCTGCTCGCCCCCTTCAGCAGCCTCTCCCTGCTTTCCGCCCTTGACACACCCACTTCTGTCCCGTCAACTCCCAGCCCCCTGTTTAGAGTCCCCCCACCCCACCTGCACCCAACACCCCAGGACACCTTGTCATCAGGCTCCCGGCTGAGGGTCCAGAGCACCAACAGGATGATGCATGTAGTCTTTACATCCGGCAATGTGTCCATGAAGATCTGCTGAGTGGTCAGCCCCTTGGTCTGCATTGGTGGGTTCCGCATGGATGACGGGAAGTTGGGCATCCAAGAAGTGAACTCCAGCTGGAGGTGGGGGTGGAGGGGTTCCAGGTCAGAGAACACCCGAGGTCTCTTGGGCTTAAATTGAGGTTGGGATTGAAGCAGGGACTTGAATTGAGACCCGGGGGGACTAGCCTAAAGATTAGGCTGAGATTGGGCTGGAGGTTGGGGCTGGGACTAAGGTTAGGTTTAGGTGTGGGGCATGGGATGGTGAACACATGTACCTGCCCTGTGTTGACAGCTGCATGCTTGGCAGAGCAGGTGTAAATGACAATGGTGACATATCGGATCAGCTCAGGAACAGTTTTCAAGCACGTGGGGAAGCCTGGGGAGGGGAAAGGGTAAATGCCCTGGCAGCATCATTTGTGCCCTGGTTCTGACTGGCCAGTAGAGAGTGTGACCAAGCGTAGCTCACCCTGTCCTGCTAATACTCTAAGCTGCCATATCCCTGCCCTCATCCTGTCCACTTGGCCCTCTTGTGACCACAACCCCATCCTACCCCTAACCAGATCACAGGCCTCAGGGATGGGGGTCTCAACTATCTTCCAGGTCTGCTCCAGGCACCTGCCCCAGGTGGGACCCTGAGGTCTCTCCTCCAGCAATCCACATCTCTTATGGCGGCCTCCCAGGCCTGGGGGAGGAGGGGTGGCAGAGAGGCTTCAGAAGAACCCTGGCTTTCCTGCCCCGATTCAGTACAATCCCCCATCCACTACCCTTACCTGTCTTCTTTCCGCTCCTCCTTTGGGGCTCCCAGCTCAGGGAATGACATACATCATCCTCCTGGTTGTGACCTGGGAGTCACCCTTTGCCTCCCAACTCCCACCTAGCCCCCATTGCCAAACCCAAACCAGTCATCACATCCTGTCATTTCTACCTGCCAGCTAGTTCTGGAATTCCCTTCATCCCCACAGCCGCCACCGGAGATAGGTTCCTGTCTCCTCCCTCCTGGACACCACAACAGCTTTCCAAAGCCTCCCATCTGATGCCACCTGATATTCTTACACACAAATTTGATCTCCTTTGCAAATTCCTTCAATGGCTCCCTCTGGTGCTCAGAGTAATTCCAAACTCCTTAACCAGGCTCTGCCATGATCCTTGCTCAAGGCTTCAGTCTCAGCACCATCTGGAGCCTGCCCTGCTCCCATCCTAAGCTCCAGTTGTTGGACCTGTGAGCAGCCCCCAGAATCACTATGCTCACTCTGGTTTTGCGACCTTTTCACATGCTGTTTCACCCAGAACCCCCAACCTGCCTCTGGCCTCTCACTGGTAACCTCCCCAATGTGCAGATGTTAGCTAGATGTTAGTCATGATGCTGGAGCTCAGCTAGATGTTAGTTTGTTGCTACCCAACCCCACTCTCTACCCCCACCTCACCCCAAGGTGGGTTAGATGACTCCCTAGGTTCCTAAGGCCCCTCCCCAAATTTTCCCCCCAAACTGCACCAATCCTGCTATAGTGTTTACCTGAATGGGTCACCCCTTTGCCTTCCAGCAACCAGATCATAGGTGCTCACTGAACATTTGTTCAGTGGGTACCCATGTCCTATGGATGCTCTCCCACCCTCATTCACCTGGAACCTGCCAGCTGCCCACCAGCTCCCCAGTCTCAGCACGTTCTGCCCTTTGCTACTTGAGCTCATGCCCCATTCCTCAGTCCACAAAGGTTTATTTCTGGAATGGAGGACTGGGACCCCTCCAGGTCTCTTCAGAGGTGACCGATAGTCCCTGAGTTCAAACAGGGACCAACAGCCTGTCATGCTGTATTTCTCAACCTCTCTGAGATGCCGCTGCTCCAGGCAACAGAGAAAGTCCTGTCAAAATCCTAGGGCAGTGACTTGGTCTCCTTTAACCCACGAGGAGAGGAGACATGCTCCCGTTCCCCCCGGAAGGCCTGCCCCACAGCCCTGGGTCCCTCTGGGTCCATACCTGAGCTCTCACGCTCTAGTAGGCACTCCTTGTATATCTCCTGCACCCAGGACTGCAATTCTGGGTCGCCTTCCACGGCTGTGTCACATGGGTAATAGTAGGTGATAATCTCCGTCACATACCTGGCCAGAGGACAGGGCCTCAGTCTGGACCCTCCTCAGCCATGCTTTTCCCACCTCCCCTAGGAGGTGCCAACCTTGGCATACCCAGGGAAACCTCAGGCCTGCAGCTAGGCAAGCCCTGCGGGGGCGGAGAGGGGAAGGTGGCCTGGCAAGGTCAGGAGTGCTCCCTGACAAGGGCCAGGTGAGGTGCACAGGCAGCTCAGAGTCAATAAGGGGTCTGGCTGGCAGCAGTAGACTGGGTCCAAAACAAGGGAAGAACCAATAGGGCCTTTCCCAGTCCCACCTGGTGTGTGAGGACACATGTGACAGACCTACAGGCCCCAGAGCCCCAGACCTTATTTTCTGTCCCCAAGACCAAGCCCCTGGATGGCCCCATACCCAGGCTCAGGTCCTTAAAAGCTTCCCACACCCCTCCAACATCTCAGGGTGTCCACCAGGAACGCCACCCACTGCTGCACGTCCCCTCCAGTGCGTCCCACACCTCTCCAAAGCGTCCCACACTGCCAAGCTGTCATCTCGGTAGTAATATCCTGGCAGGTCCTGAACCCCACGCTCGACGAAGTCATTGGGAAGGTAGAGACTGTCGTAGGTGATCTCTGACAGAGCCCGCACCATCACCTCAGCAAAGCCCTGCAGGCCCAGGGATGTGCCCTGTTAGGGAGGAGGCAGAACCTGGAGCTGAGAGAGTCCTGGCAAGTCCTCCCCTTGAGGACCACATCTACCTCACACAAAGTCTAGTGAGTGTTCCTCCAGCCCCACCCCAGGAGTTCTCACAGACTGGCCAGCACACCCAGCCCCTGCCTGTGTGCCCTTCCAGACCTGGTGCCCTCTTTAACCCAACTCCTCCCTCCACGCCCCATCATGATAGAAAGGCAAGTGGCAAGTTCTGCTTTTAGTCTAACTGCAAAGGCCAGAAGGAGAGCAGATGCCGTGCTGCAGCAGAGGACAGAAGTCTTACCCTGGCAGAGAGGCCCCCCTCATTGAGGAGGAGGGCTCGCCCAATGCTGTTGATCTGGATGGTGAATCGAGTGTGAGGGATGAGGAGCTGTGGGAGAGAGCAAGAAGGATAATTGGAGAAAATTAAAGTTACCCCCAAAAGACCTCAATACCTCCATCTCTACAACATCGGACCCCCTCCTTAGGAAGTGCCACTCCAAGCCCTCTCCTGTGGGTCCCTAGCTGCCTCCCCAAGTCTAACTGGAAGCCCTGTGACTACTGAGTGAGCCAGGTGGCTTTCCAAGGGCAACGATGCTTCCCAGCAGTCCCTTCATCCATGCCCATACCTTGTAGAGGGGGTGGCACATGGGAAACTGCCTCAGCGTGGCCAGGCAGAAGGCCTCAGCCATGAGGTGGGTCTCCAGCAGATGGGAGATGGCTTCGTGGCAGTAGAACTCGGCATTGCGCACCCATGTCTTGGCCAGTAGCCAATCCCATTCAGAGTCACTGGGCAGGAAGATGGGGCAATCGGGCCCAGGGGTCTGGCCGAGCTGTATGTGGGGGAGGAGGGAGGACTAAGTGAGTGAAGAAACACACACATACAAGGGTCCCTGCTGCAGGAGGGAAGCAGAGGAGAATCTGAGGAGGTAACTCCACCTCCTCTGGCTCCCAGCACACACCAGCGCCTTTCCCTCTGTCTCACATTTGCTCTTGCTGGTCTCTCTGCTTCTAGTTTCCTCCCCCTACCACTTTCTCTATCTCACATCTCCCATTCATTCTTCAAGAACCAGCTCACAAGCTGCATCCTCTGAGAATCCTTCCTTATCTCAACTCCAAGTTCACCATGTTCAGCTGTGCAGGTTGCGCACTGCACAAGGGTACCAAGACCAGGGGTGGGGGCTGGGGTAGCACTGAAATCTAGGCTATACTGTTCCACTAACAAACCGGGAGCATCAGGGCTTGACTAATGTCCCCAGAGGAGTGCCTTCTTCTAATTTGGACATGATCCAGCTGGGAAGGAAGCACTTCAGTTCTCCTTCCTGCCAGACCAGACTCCCAAGGCAGCAACTAAGTGTGATTAATTCAATATTTCTAAAGGAGACCTGGCCTACAGCAGGTGTTAATTTAGCAAGCGGATGATGGATGAATAGTCAAAGAGACAAATCTGAATCTCCTGCACAGTCCCACCTGGTGACAACTGAGCATGTACATGCAACATGCACACTCCACACACAGGGGCTTATACACAAGTGCACCCAAGCTCGTGCCTGGGCATACAGGCACACAGTGCAGCACACAGATGTGCACATGTAGGGAGTCACCCAAAGCTTATAGACAGGGTCATGCACCAAGCTCAGCACTGGACATACACGAACAGGCACACACATAA